AAGGCCCAAGCGCTCTTGTCGGTCGGTTTCCGTGCACGGGAACGCCACATTTGTGATTGTCCTCTAGGGTCTATACTACAGACCGGAAGGGAAGCGTTCACACGACTTCTGCCTGGGTTGTGCCTTTAACTTGAAGTTGTTTGCCGCGCTTTGGGTAGGGTTATTTCACGGGGGTAATTCTATATTCTGTTTGTGGTGATATTCGCATCGTATATTGCTACCAGATTGGCAGTTAACGAATCAAAACCGTCAATGTGATATGTTTGGGGATTTCAGCTTCGTTGAGGTGTTTTCGTTTTTAAAGCACCCTTGTGGTCAGTTATTTTTCTTCGGTGTGCATTGGAAGTACTGGCCAAGATTTTTTTTTATGGCGGGAATTCTTTTCGAAATGCTTAAACTTTTGGAGGCTTAGCGCATGTGTAGTAGTATGTCTGTAATTTGAGAGCTTTGAATTTGACACTTGAACAGTCGCAGCTGCTCTTTGCATACGCTGCGCATTTGCAAGTAAACGCTCGTAGCAGGTGTTGATTACAAGATTCAGATCTACCCAGCATTATTCTAACAATTTCTATTTCCTGTTTCAATCTAGCTTATATCGCGAACGTTCTGAATTAGCGCGAAGCTGTTTTTATCCGATGGATATAGGTAGAATAGTTTACTTCGGTCCACTACAAACCATTCGACCACATTTTCAAAATAATTTTCAGCCCAGTGGACGTCTCGCTCAAATAAAAAGAAAGCAAAGAAGTTGTTTGCCGGGGCGCTGGACCGATTAGATCAAGATGCTGTCGATGTTTGTGAGGTCGTGTTCGATCTCACGTCAAAGCTTAGCCTGGAAGACGGAGACGATGGAGAGTGTGGGCCTGGCACGCATTCAACTCCGTCTTCTTCGGTGAGATCATCTTTCGCAGTTTCTCCTATTTTGTTTCTTCCGTTTTCATATCATGGGGTATAGCTCGGTTTTTTCCAATGCTGGTTATCTTGTCAATTTTCTACTTGATTATCTTCTTTTTTCACGATCACGTAAAATATGTGATGTAATATGTGATACCACGCTAGTATTCAGTGACCAAAATATACAAATGTCCAGCGAAGAAGCACCAATAAAAAAGCAACTAAAGTTTTTTTTCCAGGGAAAGGACCACCATGATGCAGAAATGACCACAGTGGATTACTTTGATGAAGCTACAGGGGACATCATTTCTGTACCACAAGGAAATGGCCAAATCCAAAGGTATGTCGAGGTATAGAAAAGTCGCAATTATGGACATCTTGTGGTCTGAAGTGTTGATTGCTCTTTTCATCGCTCCAATTCTCAGAGCCTCATTAGGATCAAAATGTTGTATTCACAAAGGGGTCTCGACTAAGTATCCAAAAGAGTTTAAAAGCTCTAAAAAAGACTCAAATATTCCTTGAAACTTTCTGATGTGCCGAAGAACAACACCTTGGTCGGATGTTGGAAAGCTTCACCGCTGGGTAACTTTCACGCATTTTCACGCTAGTTGAGGCCTACCAATGCTTGGCGAAGTTGCTTTGCACGAAATGTGACCGAAAGTTTCAAAGAAATATTTTGGAAGGTTCCTTGGAGTCTTCTGAATTCCTTTGGAATAACTCTCAAGTGAGCTTTTTAAAAGTGGTGTGCATTGGTTCAGCCGTTAATTAATTTCGTCAGAGCTCTCTGCTTTGATTTAGGCAACAAAGAAAGAAGAAAGGAAAGGCGGCGAAGGGCACGAGAAGACTTAAAAAACGGTGTCGGAGATGCCAAAATTTTGAGTGAAGATTATTGCGAGAGCACTAGCGAAGAAGAGGATGAACGGATACAAATGCGGGAAGGTGTGCCGGACTATATGTTTTCTATCTCATTACTTTTTTGTATGATTTTGATGATTTTGGCAGCGAGCCTCCTCGTTTCTGCTCTACTTTTTGTAAGATTTTTTTTCTTTTCAATAAAGATCAGTCAGCAGACCGCGGATGAGTCTCTCCCATTATAGATGAAAGGTTTTCGCAGCCTCCATTGCTACGGATCATGGATTCCAAGAACAATCTCCACGTTGTCACTATTTGTGGCGGAGTCGTAGGAAGACAGTCCGGATGTGATATTCTTGTCGACGATCCATCTATTTCGAGGGTCAGTTCGGTTAGCTTCGAGTGTTTCCACTGTTCCACATTTCTCGATTTCGTACCGTTCTTCTCAAAGTTCGTTTCAGAAACTGCTCGAATTTGTGTTTGTTCCGGAAAGTAATTCATTTGTTGTGAACAAGCTTTCCGACAAAGGGCATGTTATGTTGAATGATTACGAATTGTTGGTGAAGCTTTATTTCCTTATTTTGTAGCCACTTTTTTGTTTCTGCCTCAGAAAACAACTTTGATCATGTTTGCCGACTAGACGTGTGTTAGTTTTTTGGGAGTGTTCCACCTTTTTCACCCATTTTGCGCATGAATGCTGCTTTGAACAGTTACACTCGGTTACAGCAAAAGTTAGTCTTACCGTGTTCCCAATTGCATTCATTTCTATTGTTTATTTTCTATTTAGACGCCTTTTGATGATTTCCTTCGAATTTTTAGGCAAACGATGAGCGAGAGATTGAGCATGGTGATATACTGAGATTTGGCAAGGAATTTTTACGGGTCCACGTCCATTTCGGTGGGTTGTTATTATTTTTATGTTTCGTCGTTGTCAGTTAATTCCTTCTTCATTATCATTTTCTATGTGTATTCAGGTAACAATACTTGTCCTGGGTGCGAGCAGGGACTTTTGACGCCTGAAACAACCGCAGTGTCACAGTCAGTGACCGTTCCTCATGGAGAAACGGCGCGACGGCGAAATATGAAAGCGCTCAAAGCTATGTATGGAATCAACGATTACGTGAGTTTAGTTTCCTGAGAATTTCTGAAATTGTTATTTTGCTGCTCAGTTGGTCGTGTGGAAATATCTACTTTATCGTAGGGATATCCTGGTCCAGTTAAATTTTGGCGATCTTCTTGTTCCTTACCTCAGAACTAGTGAACCGTCTCCGAGGTCTCAAGCACTGTGCTCCTATATTTTCCACCTCATTGGTTTTTCAGGCAGAAAGTGCTCGGACTCCATCTTACGGACCAGATCGTGCTGCTAAGAGGCGGCGACTTGTTGGTTCGGAAATTGACGTAAACAAGGATGGAAGTATCGCTGATCCAAACAATATTTACGCTGGGTGTGCTGCTAAACCTGTGCCAGGTTTGCTGAATTAACTCTTGATTATTAGATCATGCTACTCAGCAACATCTTTTCCAACTATAGGGTTTCAACTTCAGGTGCCGTTGTTGTGTCGAAGTTGGATTCAGTTAAGCCGCTCAACGAAGCCAATAAAGGCTTCCGTCTGCTTCAAAGTATGGGATGGAAAGAGGGCGAAGGATTAGGAAAGGACGGCACAGGACGTCAGGCACCGGTATGTTCCTTGATAAATTTTTCTAGATGCTT